ATCTATCTATCTATCTATCTATCTATCTATCTATCTATCTATCTATCTATCTATCATCTGTCTATCCATCCAGTATAATTTACTGCCATTACTACCAAGAACTCTGTCTTTTTTAAAATCTTGACCCTGTCCCTCTAATCTAAACTTCACCACTGTCCATATCCAAGAAAAAAGTTGAGACTTAAAGTCTTGTTTAATATAATGGCATAAAGAAATATTAATACTTGCCTATATTTGTCTCGCAGTGGGTGGTTCGGACACCTGTTCTCGTTTGCAGCATTTCTACAACGTGAAAGCAGAGAACATTATCATTACCTTCATTGTTTAAATATAGAAACTGAGGCTTCCAGGGGTGAAGCGACCTGCCCAGGGTGTGGTGACACGGTTTGGGTTTCTAGAGGCCTTTGAAACTATGATGGAAACAACAGATCTTTCTTAGTAGAGGGGCCTGGATACACCCAATCTGCAAAGCTTGGGGGTAGGGTGCGACTTGAGCCCTATTTCTCCCAGAAACCCACAGGGGACCCAGTAAGTGACAGAAGGACTGGAACAGGAGGGTGACCTTCCTCCCACCACCCTCAGTGGGCAGTGCCTGGGGACTTCCCATGAGGCCCGTGAGGAGGCAACTGTCTAGAAGTCAGGCTTCAGGGAAGGAGGCTGATGGTCAGATGGCGGCAGGTCTGCAGTAGAAAGACTGGCTGAGGAGGGAGGGGACCGGTCCCCAAAGCAGCCTGGCTGTGGGTGTTGGGAGAGGGCAGCCCCTCGGCGCTCTCTCCTGGTGGGGCGGGTGCCCCTTGACCCTCGGCCCCAGAGGGGCGGACCTCCTGGGAAACACATCAGTCAATACAGTTGAAGGGGGCAGCGCGTGTCAGTAAATGCCAGGCAAGAAGAAGGTTTGAAAGATGTATTTCATAGCACAGCAGGGAGCGAGGGAGAGGGCGAGCTGCAAAAAATGGTAAATATTAGATGTGCTCTCTAGAAAAAGAACAAAGATGATGGCCTTAGGTTGAAAGAGAATATTAAAATTTGCTTCTGTGCTAATAAAAGGGCTAATTTCACCCCAGGCATCCAGCAAACAATGGATATTTACTGTGCCGGGTGTCCTGCAGGGGGTGAGAAGCCTGGAGCACGGGGTGGGGGTCCAGCCCTTGGGGGGAGGCCAGCTCCAGGGAGATGGACACGCCCCTGAGCAGCTCATCCGGGCTGAGGACTATGTCATTCTAAGCACTTCACCTATATTATCAGATGGTTAAACCCTCACAACAACTGTGGGAAATAGATCGCATTGTTATTTCCACTGTAAGACAAAAAGATAGGATGGGGTAGCCCGACAGCATCAGAGCGGAGCAAAGAGCTGCGCTGGATTTGAACTCTGACCGTGGCGCTCTGGAACCTCTGAGCATAAACAAACCTCATTCCACTGCCTTGCACCATGTTTGGCGCTTGTCCAGTCTGTTGGTAACTTGGGAGAAAGGGGCCCTATAGCAGTTAGCTGTTAACAGAACAAGGCCACATAATAAACCATTTGACAAAAAAATAGGTATGATTTTACTCAGTCACACCGGACGGCTATTGTTGGGCTGGCTGTTGTCATTTTTTATTTGACAATCTAAGGGAAGAGGGGTCAGTGCCCTTGATTAAATAGTCAGATACTGCATGTGCTAAAATTCTTGCAGCACACGGGTTGCAAATCACCGGGTTAGTGCTTGATGTGGAAACAATACTCATTTGGCGACTTCTCCCCTTTATCCTTAATAAATGCCAGGAAAGGTGTTAGTTAGCTCCCAGCCTACAGAAGAGACTTCCTGAAGCAGTTTTTAGTACACTCTGGAAATAACACCCGGAGGCTTCTGGGCTTGCTTCTTGGCGAATCTGAAGTTTAATGGCTTTTTTTCCTACTTAAGAAGAGCAGTTTCTCATGCCCTGTGGCTCAGAGCAGTGTTTTTAAGGATGACGCCCACGGCGACTGCAAGGGACTGTCCCCGGGATCCGTCACCATAGCCACCTTCCCCAGTAGGAAGATGACTATTCAAACCTGCCCTTTAAAAGTCTCTCGTGTGGTCTGATTGTTATGACCTCGGGGGGCTAATCAGCCAGCCCACCTTCCTGCACCCACCATGGAGGTTTGTGCAGTGAACCTGGTAAAAAACGACAGGCTCGCCAAGGCCGGAAATCTGCAGCGTTCGGCTGGGAAAGGCATAAATCACATGGGCTGGTCTGACTCCTGGGAGGATTGGTTCTTTGAGATTATTTTCCAAGGTTTCTGTGCCTCAGGGGTTTACATGGAAGGGGACCTTGGGGCCCTCCTTTCCATGATAGAATTGACTCCCAGGCATCCCGGCCCAGTGGCGATCTGACCTCCGGCCGGACACATCCAGTGAGGACGAGCACGCGGGCCACCTGGAGGTGCTCGATGCTGTTTACTGAAAGAGCACCTCCTGTGTGTGAATTCAGTGTGTGTTAAATAAGTCATGCAGTTATTACAGCAGCCACATGAGGCAGGAACGATCGCAAACTGTTCATCCACCCCGTGGTGGGGATGGGACTTGAACCTTGGGCACGCTCAGCTTTGCTGTGGGGCAATCAGGAAATCCTGGTTCTCTCCCGACTCTTCTCCTGGCCGACGAGGTGACCTTGGGCAAGTCACTGAACACTCTGGGCCTTTTTTCTTACTTTTTGTTGTTGTTCATCTTCACCCAAGGATATTTGTTCCATTTATTTTTTTAGAGAGTGGACTGGAGGGGGAGGGGGAGGAGAGAGAGAGAAACATGGACGAGAGAATCATCGATGGGCTGCCTCCCGCACGCCCCCTCCTGGGAATCGAAGCAGCACCCTTTCTGTTCATGGGACGATGCTCCGCCAGCTGAGCCACACGAGCAGGGTTTGCTTCTCTATTTTTCTATTTTTAAACTCATGGTCTCCGAGCCCTGCCAGCTCTGTCGCTGACAAGGTGTGCGTCTGGGCAATAGGGCCATCCCTGCGGGGCCCAGCGTTAGACACAGTCAACCCGTTCTCTGCTGAAGCCCCTCTTGTCCCTGTGTGCAGCCTTCCGGACATTCCTGGGCAAGGAGGACGTGTCCCGAGAGGTGGACGAGGTCCTGGCGGAGAGCCACGTGCAGAGGAACATCCAGCTGGTGTCCGCGCTGGAGCTGCTGAGGACTCCCTCCGTCCGCTGGCAGGTCATCACTGTGATCGTCACCATGGCCTGCTACCAGCTCTGCGGTCTCAACGCGGTGAGCGTCCCGCACCATTGAGGATCCGGAGGGAGACGGGGGTGGGGTGGGGTCAGGGCTTGGGCCCTGGGTGCCCGGGTTCCAGTCCCAGCTCTGCCACCTCCGCCAGCCCTGTGCCATTGAGAAACCGCATACTCCGATCCCCAGTTTCCTCGTCTGTAAAATGGGACAACATAATACTGAAAGAATCCACGCAAAGTGTTCAGCGCAGCAGCTGGCAGATTTGTCCCTTAATAAATGTTGCCTGTCGTTATCATTACTGATCCCTAGAATGCTTAAAGTCATATTTCTTCATCAAATGGCAATTAGGAGGTCATCAGGAGAGATACTGAGGTGATTTAAGTAAAGGTGCTATGGCCAGGCTGGCTTCAGTGGGCGACTTCAGCCTGAGAAAATCTCAAGGCTTAATCAGTCAGGCTCCTCGGCTGGCCTGACGCAGGCAGGGAAGTGGGAAGAGGCGGCCTCCCCTGGGGTTTCCCAAGCCCCTGAGGAGCTCAGCACCCCTTCTCTCCCGCGGGCTCCAAGATTAGACAGGGAGGCTCGCTTCAGATCATTATCATTATCGTTGCTTCTGGAAACAGTGGGTGGTGAGCTCCCCACTCAGGAAGGTGTGCAAGTCGGCCGGCCAGCCACTTGGCAGGGGTGTGTGGAGGAGACTGCACTGAGGCACCCAGTGCCCTCTGAGGTCACTCATGTAACTCAGGAGGAGTGTGGCTGGGCTCAGAGGGGACCTTCCAAAGAGCCCAGGTGAAATAGCTCTCCTGCGTTTGCACAGAATGAGCACGACCTTGGACGAGCCCTGCTGTTGCCTCCTCTTTACAAGGTCAAGGTCATGCTCCAGGGTCTCAAAGCCCCCCCCC